AAGAAACTGCCAAAGAATATAAACTGACAGCAAATCCACTCCATACTAGCACTGATGATGTTCCCTAGTTGGGTCATGAAACGTCTGCAAGAATCACTAAGAACCCCACAGTCCTTTTCCCCCTCCGTCCCTTCTCCTCCCTTCTACAAACCTCCCTTCCTTCTAGCACTGATGATGTTCCCTAGTTGGGTCATGAAACGTTTGCAAGAATCACTAAGAACCCCACAGTCCTTTCCCCCCTCCGTCCCTTCTCCTCCCTTCTACAAACCTCCCTTCTAGTACTGATGATGTTCCCTAGTTGGGTCATGAAACGTCTGCAAGAAAACCAGCAATCTCAGAGGGCACCAAGGGCCCCTTAATCCAGGTTTATAAGGAGCATAGATAAATAACCTCAAAGGCCTCCCAAAATAACCTTGATTGTTGTGGGGTTTCTTTATTTTTGGCTCGTGAACTGATCGTGAAACATTTGTGAACTAAGTCAGTGTTTTTCTGCTTTGGCAGCGCCTGACTTAAATCCATCACATCCTTTCATTTTGGACTGTTTTCTTTTCTTTCTTTCTTTTTTTTAAACCCAAGAACCCCTGAAGGAAATTCTCGGGCCTCCAGCCCTGGACTGGAGGCAGAACCATTCCAGCTGACACCCCCTGCTGAAGTGTCTTACTTGGCAAGGGCCGGGAAAAACGAGTTTTTGAATCTCGTTCCGGATATTGAGGAAATCCGAGCTGGGTAAGTATCCTCCTTAGGGGAAAGGAAGGTGCCATTCAACAACTGGGAGAAAAGCCAGCCCTCCCCCTCTTCTGAAGATGGGCTGCTCCACCTCAGCCTCTGATTCCTAGCTTTTCCTCCCACTGGGAAGCGGGAAGGTTTTCCTGGGGCTCTAACCAGTCGGACTCCCTACCCTGATGGGTCTGTTCCATGCCGGGCTCTGCTTCCAGGTCCGTGGTCTCCAAGAAAGGCTACCTTCACTTCAAGGAGCCACTCTCCCCTTCGTGGGCCAAACATTTTGTGGTGGTGCGCCGCCCGTATGTCTTCATCTACAATAGCGACAAGGACCCCGTGGAAAGAGGGATCATCAACCTGTCCACGGCTCAGGTGGAATACAGCGAAGATCAGCAGGCCATGGTGAAGGTCAGTGGCAGCTCCAGGAGACCTATATTGTTTCAGACAGGTGGCTGTCTAACCTCTTCTTAAAATCCTCCAGGGATGAAGCGCCCACAGCTTCTGGAGGCAAAGCTGTTCCACTGGTTAATTGTCCCCACTGTTAGGAAATTTCTCCTTAATTCCAGGTTGCTTCTATCCTGGATTAGTTTCCATCCATTGTTTCTTGTCTCCTGCCTTCTGGTGCTTTGGAGAATAGCTTGAGTCTCTCTTTTTTGGGGCAGCCACTCAAATATTGGATGACTGCTCTCCTGTGCTATCCTCAGTCCTTCTTTTCTCTAGACTAAAGGTAAAAGGTTCCCCTCGCACATCCATGCTGGTCGTGTTCGGCTCTAGGGGGCAGTGCTCATCACAAAGAGCCAGCGCTTTTCCGAAGACGTCTCCGTGGTCATGTGGCCGGGGCATGACTCGACGGCGAAGGCGCAAGGAACGCTCTTCCCTTCCCACCAAAGGGGTCCCTGTTTTTTCTACCTGCATTATTTTTAACATGCTTTCGAACGGCTAGGTTGGCAGAAGCTGGGACCAGGAACGGGAGCTCGCTCCATTGGGTAGCGCTAGGGATTCGAACCGCTAAACTGCCGACCTTTCTTCTTTTTTTTAAGTAAAAGTTTTATTGATTTTAACAACAAACCAAAAAACACATAAAACATAACATAAAAACATCATCATCCTTCATAAATTTACAGACAGTGTATCGGTTGGTTTACCACTCCTTTTTGTGCATCCATTTCATAGTCATTATAATAATTATATTACATAATAACTCATATTATCAATCAACAATTATATATCCTAATATCATTATTAAACAATCATTTGACTAAACTGCCGACCTTTCTGATCGACAAGCTCAGCATCTTCGCCGCTGAGCCACCGCATCCCAAATCCTGCCACCGTTCTTCCTAGGTTTTTGTCTCCAGCCCCTTCATGATCTTAGTTGCTCTTCTTTGCACTTTTCCCAAAGCGTCCACGTCTTTTTTTTAAATGGAATGTGGTGACCAAAACTGGATGCAGTGTTCCTGGCCTGCCCCTTGCTAAGACTTTCTGAAGTGGTATTAAATACTTCATGTGTTTTGGATTCTGCACCTCTCTATTTGTACCACCAAGGATTTTATTAGCTTCTTTGGCTGCTGCTGCACAGGGCTGGCTCGTGTTTAAACGACCACCTATTTGGTGCCAAATCCCACTGCGGTAGTTCGATGGCCTTTGAACCCTGCATAGATCAAGAAGGATTCCCTTGGGGAGGAAAGGACCACGAGTTCTCCAAAAACCTGGCCGAGAATTTTCAAACCTTCACGATTTCCGTCGAGCCGATTTTTGTTAACAAACATTCTGCTTCACGGAATCGTGGAGACTAGAAAAATTGCTTAAAAGGCCGGCCGTGTTTTATTTTTATTTTTTTGCCTGTTATTTAGACACCAAACACCTTTGCCGTCTGCACCAGACACCGTGGCGTCCTCCTCCAAGCCCTGAACGACAAAGACATGAGCGACTGGCTGTACGCCTTCAACCCCCTCCTTGCTGGCACGATACGGTAAGAGGGGACACGCCGGGGATGCCAGATCTGGGGCCTCTTGGCCTGCAGACGGTAGCAGACAGGCCATCCATAAACCTGGCTGAAAACCCCTGAAATGGCATAGCATGTGCCGACAGCCTCGTAAGGGAAAAGGGGCTGGGGGAGGCATGGGAAGGGGCTGGTGGAAATTTCAGGTCTGCAAGGAAAACAAGTGGGCGTGTTTCTTTCCAGAGGAAGTGTTGCAAAATGGGTGAGAAGCGAGGGAATTGGTTAGAGCAGGGGTGTCCAACCTTGGCAACTTTAAGACTTGTGGGCTTCAACTCCCAGAATTCCTCAGCCAGCTTTGCTGGCTGAGGAATTCTGGGAATTGAAGTCCACAAGTCTTAAAGTTGCCAAGGTTGGACACCCCTGGGTTAGAGAGAGAGAAAAAAGGGATGTTCATGAGCAAAGAGGAAGTTGAAAAGCTTTCTCCCTGCTTGCAGATGAGATGAGGAGTCTGGGAGCCTTTTTTAGACTAGAGAGTCTCACTTCAAGGCAGAAGCTTAGGTGTCACCGGATGGTCCAGAGCATTTCGGAGCTCAGCAGGCCTGCCACTCAGGAGGAGCCTGCGCTGTCAGCCCAGCAATACACATTTACAGCGGCTCTGCTCAGTGACAGTGTGGCAGTGGGGAAGTGGAAAGTATCTCGCATGTCCTATTGCACTGCAAGTTCTGCAGGGACCTCAGATGGACGTGCCATGTTTCCCCCCAAAATAAGACCCTGTTTTATTTTATTTTTTTGCCATCAAAAAAGGCACCAGGTCTTAATTTGTGGGGATGTCATCCACTGACTAACCTCACTCGCATGCGTCGCTCCCGGCCTCCTTTTCGCTGTCAGAGGCCTTTAGGAACTTCTTCTTCTGCAGCTGGCAAGGCTTTCCTGAAGGCCTCTGCAGCCAATAACTGAGCTCTGGATCGATCCTGAGCTTTATTACCAGCTACAGAGGTCTTCAGGAAAGCTGCAGAAGAAATGGGCCGGCAAGGCAAGTGTTGGGGTGTGCGAGGCCTGGCTACACCTGTCCAAAGGTAAGTAGTAGGGTAGCTCCACCTCCTCCATCCCCACCCTAGCTTAATTTTTACCCATGCACTCTGGAGTGGCCTCTCCCAAATCCCCTTTTCCAGGCTGCATTTCTCTTCCCCAGCCTTAATTTTAGCTTCCCAGCAACAGGGAGAGTTGAAAAAAAACCTCAAGGAAGAGGATAAACTTAGGTTAGGAGAGAGACGCACACCTGCGTTGGTTGCGTTGTGTTCTCTGTCTCCGGTTCCTTCAGCCGCGCCCTTCTCACTCCGTTCCCTTGTCCTCTTCTTTCTCCTTGGCAGGTCCAAACTCGCCCGAAGACTCTCTGGACAACTGAAGTACTGAAGGTCCCTTCGGGGAAATTCTCCACGCAATTTTTATTTTCTCCCCAATCCATCTCTGGCTATAAGATAAAACCTCCCCCCTCTCTGTTTTATTTTTCTCTGTGATAACTTGAGTCGCTCCTTTCCCTTGTACGTAACCCCCCCTCCGTGGCTTAACTTGGCTCACTTCCAGCACTTTCCCTCCATCCTCTCCTCTCTTTCTCTCTCTTTTCCCTCTCCCTTTTTTAAAAAAACAAAAACAAAACAGAAACTATTCTAAAGTTTTTTTTCCTTCCCTTTTCAAGTGTTGAAAACACTTACTAATCGCATGTGGCCAAACTGAAGACGAAGTGACGGGAGGGAGAGAAAAAAAAAATGTGGTTAAGTGGGGAGAAAAACAGGGTGGAAAGGGGGGGGGGGGTTGTTTCATATTTATATATGCACGACTTTTTTGGTTTAAAAGAAAAACAAGAAAAAAACTTTCCTCCCCTCCTCCTCTTCCTCCTCCTCCTCCTCCTCTCCTATGTGGGCCCTTGCTTCCTCACCCCAAGTGATGTCACCTGTTCTGCTTCCTTCTACGATGTGTTTGTCTCTGTCTGGATGTCGAGGATTTTATTTTATTTTATATTGTTTCGTCCGTCCAACTTTGATGGCTTGGAAATAACCAGGCTCGTGTTTCACACCAGGAAAGGCTCCTACCTTCTCCTTGGGGGCGTCCCCTTCCCCGGCGTCTGTTGCCTGGCCCTTTGGATCTTGTGTTTTATTGATTTACTTTGGGATCTTATTCTTTGGGATCTCTGGTTCAGGGACTGGGTCATCCCCAGGAAGGAGGGTGGACGTATCCAGGCTCGGCTCTGCAGCCTGGTTAAACAATTCACCCCTTCCTTCTCGGCCCGGCGATGGCTGCCTGCAGCTTTTCACCCTTTGGGGGCAGTTTCGGATGAGCAGGTTTCAGACCTTAAAGGGTCTGGCTTGTGGGACCTGCCCCTGCCCTGGGTTTCCCCACCCACCCAAGTGGAAATCTTGCCTCCCTCCCAGAAGGATTTGAACCGGTACAATTGAAAAAAAAATAGGCAGAGGATTTCGGCTTCATGTAAGCGCCCTGTTTTTTTTCCGCATGGGCAGGATCAACCGGAGGAAGGTGGAGCGGTGTTTGAAAAGGGGGTCGGACTCGTGAAAGGGGGGGGGGGATTTGGCCGGCATTGGGGCTGAGGGGCAGCACCGCTTCCTCCCTGCCTTCCCCACCATCGAAGGATCATTTCTATCCATTTTAGAAACATTCCTGCTTTAAGGCTCAGCTTCTCTCTCTCTCTCTCTCTCTCTCTCTCTCTCTCTCTCCCTTCCTCTCTCTCCCCTCCCTTTCTTTCCCTCTCCTTTCTTCCCCCCCTCTCCCTTCCTCTCTCTCCCCTCCCTCTTTCCCCTCTCTCTCTCCCTCCCTCTCTCCTCCCTCTCTCCTTTCTTCCCCCTCTCTCTCCTCCCTCTCTCCCCTCACTCCCTCCCACTCCCTCCCTCTCCCCTTACTCTTTCCTCCCTCTCCTCTCTCCCTCTCTACCCCCTGTCCCTCTCCTCTCTTTCCCCTCTCTCCCCTTCTCTCCCCTTCCTCTTTCCCCCCTCCCTTTCTCTCCTCTCTCCCTCTGGAGTCAGGAAGGGAATTGGAAACAGGAGGGTGGGACATGCTGTTCTCTTCTCCGCCTCTCTTCTCTGCCCTCAAGGTGGAAAGGCGGCCTACCCAACACTCCACCCCCCCTGGTTGTCTCCTGCGGGAGGCCTCTCTCCCTTTGGGGGTTCCACAGTAGACATTCCTGTACCTCCTTTGCAGAACCTCCAAGAAATTCGTATTCGGACTGCAGCCAGGCGGGTCTCGCGTGGCTGAATGCTCCCTTCTTACCAAGAAATCCAGCCAGCCTTCCCCTTTCTTGGTTAGCTTATCAGGGCATTCTTTCCCTGGTGGAAGTGGATGCGCTCCTCCTGGCCTTTTACCTGCAGGCCGGCAAGGAAAAATGTGACCTCATGGGCTTTCTAAACTAGCGCGCGCGCACACACACACACACACAAAGGTTTGTGTGTGTGTGTCTCTCTCTCCTTTTGGTTTTTAGCATCTCTGCAAAACTTGGGCCCACAAGGGCCCAGAGGGAGCCTTGGTAGTCACTGATCTGTCCAGAGAAAGGCAAAAATCTGATTTCCCCCCCCACACAGGGGACCTGTGAAGGAAGTAAAATGGGACATACTTAGGTATTTGGTTTGATTGCTTTGGGTTTATTGCACTAAAACGGAGTCTTAACAGTGGGACTCCCAACCTTATGATGAGATATTATTTCATCTCCTACCAGATACACTACTTACCACACACACACACACACACTGTAAGGCTGCTGGTTAGCGACATTTTGCAGTGGCTTTAATGATGTGTGAATTTTTCTTTTTGGTGCATAAGAAGCCACTGTCACTCCAGCTTTGGGCTACAAAATGGTGGAAGGAATGTTGTCTGAAGCTGGAAAAGGAAACATTTTTTGGCAATAGTGTGTCTACTACACTCCTGTAACTGTTTGTTGAGCTTGGAACAAAGCTGGCGGGAAAATTTGCTCTGGAAGAACCACTCCCTATGGAACAAGGGAAGGATTATCTAAAGTGCTCTATAGGAGCATTAAGGGGTCAGAAGGGCACCACCTCAGCTTGGGCCAACCTTTACCTGACCTCAGAGGTTCAGTGTAAATCTTAAAGCCGCCTTCTCTTGCTTATTTTAGATGCTCTGGATTTGGCTGTGCGATTTAAAATGGATGTAGGGGAATTAAGATGATTCCCCCCCCCCCCCGCCTCTCCTTTGGAAGTCCTTAACCCATCCTAAAACTCAACCAGCCCTGCTTTCCTGCAAAGCAGAGAAAGAAACTCTGCCTCTTTGCTTCACTTTAAAAAAGAAATAAGCTAAATTTCGGCAGAAGCTGGATGTAGAAAGCTTTAAGCAGCCGACGCGGCCTAGAGCCAGCCAGCTCTTTGGGCCGGTCTCCGGAGCTGCAGGGCCGCTGCCACGGGCCAGCCAACCCTCTGCGCAGGCCCTGCAGCTCCAAGCAAGGACCGTTGGCATCATCTCCTCTGCAGAGTTTTGCAAGTTAAATGGCAGGAGCTGAGAAGCCAAGACTATTAACCCTGACTGCAATCTCAGAATCCCCTGCTCCTTTCTTTCAGTCGGAATCAGTTGATTTCATCCTTTTATTTCTTTATATCTTATCTGTCTTTAATTCTTGTGCCCAGTGCCCTCCTTGGTCATTAAATGATGTTAAATTAGAAAGGGCTGCCAAGGAACCAAGCAAATTCCTAATGGTTCTTTTCCAAGCAAAGTCGTTTTCCTTTCTTCCGCTTTGTTCGTCCGATGCACTGTAGGAATTATTTAATTTGTATTTTTTGTGTGTGCATGTGTAAAGGGATGTGTATTTGTGCTCGCTTTCCTTGTACATAAACCTCAACCTCCCATTGTTCTCCTCTCCCTCTTGTATGATCTGCCATGAATTAATCCTGTTGTCTGCCCAGGCATCACACGGTACAATATAAATTTCCCATTCTGTTCGCGTCGTTTTTGTTTTTAAATTATTATTTCTAACATGCTGCTCTTAAATAACAGGGGAATATTGGGAGGGGGAAAATTAACTTCTGCTGCTTGAAAGTTTCTTTGAATGTATCCGAAACAGGACCTCAGTTTGTCCGGGGAAAACAGTTCTCCGCTACCATTCCTCCTGCCTCGTCGGTGGCCAGCACCTGCCTGGCGCTTTTTAGAAAAGGGTCAGGAACGTATTTCACGCTATGCTTCCTCACTAGCCCTGGGGAAAGGGGAGAAAAGACAGGGAGGAAAATCTTTATAATTTTTTTTTGGCTCCAAGGGCCACTTCGGTGCGGGGTTCAAATCCATCCAGGCATGTCGGAAGACGACCGGCCGAAATGAAGGCTGGATTTTGAAAGCTTTAGATTCTTCTCTGCTTCCCGGAGCATCGGTGGAACTTCAACCTGCTTGCAAGACCCAGCCCAATTCCTTATTTATTGATGACCTAAATCTGGGGCATCCAATTGTGGCCACTTTAAGACCTGTTGGACTGCAACTCCCAGAATTCCCCAGCCAGCCATGGCTGGCTGGGGAATTCTGGGAGTTGCAGTCCAACAGGTCTTAAAGTGGCCACAA